TGGCTCTCTCCACAGGTGTAGGGCTGCTCCACCTCGTCGGTGAGCTCTGTATAAATGCCACATCGGCTCCACTGGGGCTTAGAGACCTCGACTCCTAAATGATCCAGTCAGTGGAGTTACAGGCCGGGGGATATCGCACAAGTTTGTGGGTTCTCTGCAGGTGAAATGCCCGTAACTGTGAGTGCAGGAATGGACCCTGCCTGTCCCCTCGGGGACGGTCATCTAAGAATGTCAGACTCGCAAGGAATCAAGAGGAAAGCCAGCGTGAAGTCTAGATGAAGTACCTAATAGTTAACTTTGGTCTGTACTTTAGGGAGTTTACCGTTTTATAAATTTCAAAAACTACATTTTGGGTCTAACTAGACAATGTCATATCCATAGATGAAATATCTTATGTTTTTCTTGATTAGTTTTAGCCAGTTGTTAATTTCTGTCTCATTTGGACATGGAAAATATGTGGGTACAAAGATCATGGATGAAGAATTTCAATACTGATTACAGCCATAAACATATAAAATAATATATTACATAATTATATATAAATTTGTAATTGTAATTATAAATTTAAAACTATTATCACATTAGTGAGTTCTCTGCCTTCATTGTCTTGACAAGCCACATATGTATGTTCATATTTTTTAAGTTTTGTCAAAACTGTAGCCCAAGACTACAGTTCTGTTGTTTTATTTGAATTAATTTCTGTCCACTTGAGATGTTGAAGATACTGACATGCTTTCATACTTTCTCCTCAGAGTCTGAAGTCTGCCTTGGCAAGATTGGAACAGTGTTCTGAAGTGGTTAGATCATACAAAATGAAGAACCCTAAACAGTGCAGTTCTTAGTGTTTCATTACACTGCTTTGGCATTTCTACTTTTGATGATATGGTTACATAAAACACTTAACCCAGTGCGGAATGAGGAGGTCCCAGCGAGGCTGGGTGAGACCGTTAAAGGAGTGTGCTCTGGCGGGCTGCATTCCCATTTGTGCTCAGCTGGAGCGGCCGATACGAAGTATGGATTCTAAAAATAAAAGAGGAGCCTGTCCAAATTCCATTTATTTCATTTTAGATAGCAAGATAGGAATCGGTTTGAGAAGCTGGAATGGTGTTTTTTCTTTCCGTACATGGAAACCAGGGGAGCACGGAAGACGTGGTAGCCTTGATAGCACTTTAGATTCTCGTAGCAAAAATGTGCAAACTGCAAAAAGCACATAAATTCTAAAACTGTAGGTATAAACCTATGCTTTATACACATATTTCTTTCATGCAAATAAAAGCCTGGGTCTTCCAGTGGTTTTACGTACGTTGACTGGTGGTCACTGTTTTTGAATTTGAAAATCCCGGAGGTATTTACTGGTAAACACTGGCCCACAGTCCTTCTCCTTCCTTCCTTCTCCTCCTCCCTCCCCCTGCTCCTTCCTGTTCCTTCTGCTTCCTATTTTCCTCCAGTCTCCTCATCCTGCCCTGTTTGCTCCGCCATCTCCCTGTCTCCGTGGGGCCCTCTGTGTGCACCACCCTCTCTCCCTTTCCCTGGTTTCCTCTTCCCAGCTCCTCAGTCTCTGAGTCACCTGCACAGGACCTTCTGCCTGCAGCACCTGCTCTCAGGTGCTGCTTAGCTGAGGGCTGAATGTGGACAGAGGTCTCAGGGACAGAGTGAGTCCTCTTGGCTCTGGAGGAAGAGCGTGCCCAGCCCACCCTCAGGGTGTGAGGGGCTGGGACAGGACAGGCCCTGGCGTGGAGGTCTGGCCGCTGGAGGAGGAGCTGGTTTGTCCTGATTCTCCGGAGCTAGCCTGCCGGCTGCCCGAATGTGCTGCACTTGGTTTTCTTCATTATGATCCAAGAATGCTTCCTGGAACCTCTTTTTTCTGTCAGTAGCTTTGTACAGGCTGCTGGTTTCTTACTGAGGCCTTTTTGGCTAAAGGAATATTTTATCATTTTTTGCATCATTATTAGTAAAGATGTGACTCTGTACATGACTTTTTCAGAACTACAATCTCTTCCCCTCAAAAGAGCAACTGCTTTAGCTGGGATCTTTTCTTTGAGATGGGATGAAGTACTTCTGATCCCTCAGTAAACCAGCTGGCGCAGGTCTCTACGCCCACGTTTCATCCTCTTCCCCTTAAGATTTCCCAGTCTGAACTCATTAGTAGTTTGGATGGAGATAGTGGTGGCGTGGAAATTCTTGCTGGTGACCTCACCTGCGGAGACTGTGGGCACAGCGCCTGCATATCCATCTGCCAGGACTTTGTGTCAGGCAGGAAATCCTGTGAGCTCTGGCTCGGGGTTAACCAGACGGGAGCAGCTCTGAACAGATTCCTTCTTCTGGCCAGGCTCCTCCCTTAGGAAGACAGATGAAGAAGCCTTTTTAGCTGTGAATTCTTGCTGACGGGCTGACCCGGGGTCAGGGTGGTGGGTAAGGCTGTGAACATTCCACAAAGTGGTGGATGAAAAAAGGCACATGGGGACGTGGTACAGACCCAGCAGTGGAGGGGTCGTAGTGAAGACCGCCCGACCCTGGAAATGGCGTGCCTCTCCTGAGAGCAGGGGTCCCTGACCCGTGTAGAAGGGTCCCTGGCCCTGGTGAAGAGTGTGACCCCTGGCGCTGGGCAGGTGTGGAGGCAGATCTTGGCCTCGCTGCTGTTAGCTGTGTGGTCTTAGATCCTGAGCCTCGGTGTCGTCCTCATCTGTGAAGTGGGGTAAGAATAGTGTCGACTTTCTAGAGTTTACGAGGGTTCCGTGGGAAAGGGGTGTAGAATGCTGAGCACGTTTCCTGGCACACAATAAATGTTGAGTAGTGATTGCTGATTTAGGACTCTTTCTGCTCTACTGTACTGCTTTCTCACTTTTTCCAAAAACCACACTAAAGACCGTAACGTGTAACTGTCTGCATTTCCACGCCGGCGCAGTCTAGTCTTCTCGCTGGGGTGTGCATCACCCCCTGGCGTTCGTGCAGGCCATGCGAGGTGAGCGGGAAAGGCTGTAGGTGGTCTGTTCCGGGTCCTCAGCTCCCAGGTGAGCTCCTTTCTGGAGCTGCATCTGCAGTTATGTGTTACTCCAGGTCTGTCTTCCAGCCTCCCTTCCAGCGTTGGCCTTTGCCGTTGTACTGAAGGACGACCTCTCGCTCACCCAGCTCAAATCCTACGTGGTGCCTTGTCCCGTGGTGTCAAACCACTGGGGCCCGGGACAGAGGGGTCGACTTGAAATGCTGGCTTCAGTGAAGCCTCCTTTAATTAAACTGCCATAAACACCCCATGTCACTAAGAGTTGCATTCTCAGTGATATTTTACTTTTAGGGCTTAATGCGTTCAAGTTGGAAGTAATTGTGCTCTTTTGATCATAGGTTATTAATGATATTTGTAGTGGTCACACAATCTGCGAGAGTCTCTTTTATACTTAAAGCTCGTGGTCACAGGAAATTTTAGGAAATTAAAAACGTATTTTTGGGGCCGGCCCGATGGCTTAGCGGTTAAGTGCGCGAGTTCCGCCACTGGCGGCCGGGGTTCAGATCCCGGGTGCGCACCCACGCACTGCTTCTCTGGCCATGCTGAAACCGCGTCCCACATACAGCAACTAGAATGATGTGTAACTATGACATACAACTATCTACTGGGGCTTTGGGGAAAAAAAGGAGGAGGATTGGCAATAGAAGTTAGCTCAGAGCCGGTCTTCCTCAGCAAAAAGAGGAGGATTAGCGTGGGTGTTAGCTCAGGGCTGATCTTCCTCACAAAAAAAAAAAATGTATTTTTGTGTCAAAGGCTGGTAGTGTTAGTAATAAGATACCCTAACACTTAGAATTATATTAGGAAATTTTAAGGGGAAATTGACATAGAAATGAGATTTACAGGATAAAGAAGAATGATGTAAAAACTCCAACTGTTAAGGAAAATATTTATTTTTAAATGGATGATGGTGGATATCAAATCATTGTGGTTTTTACATTCCATTGGATGCTTTTAAAAGAGTGTAGCAGGAAAATACATCTTTAAAATTCTTTAAACTTAGGATGAAAAATTTGAGATGTCAACTTAAAAATGGGTCTGGGGACATGGTTTTCAAATGTTTTTTGGGAGATGTGACGGGGGACACGTTAGACGGCACGTGTTATGTTTGTGTGTTCGAGTCTGTCACGGGGAGAAGGCCCGTTCCCGCTGCTCTGCTGTGGGAGCAGGGTGATCGGTCGGTGCTTCACGTTCCCCTTACCTGTGCTGATTTACTCTTTGACTGAGAAACGTGGCTGTCTCTCCTGTGCCAGACTCAGTGCCGGGGCACCCGAGGAGACGCCGGGTCCCTTCGTGGCGTTCACACTCTGCCTCCACTCTCGGGTTAGAACCTGGGTTATGGCGGGAACTGCAGCGATCAGGTGACAGTGTGTGGTGGTTGAGGCGGGCACCCCGAGACTCAGCTCACGGTGCCTGCGTCACCCCGAGTACCGACGGAGGATGCTCTCGGTTCCCGTGGGGACTGTTGCTTCTCCAGAGAAGACCGGGTGAACGTCTGCAGCTGTCGAAATTAAACATGCTGAAATTGGGGCAAAGAGGGGACTTTGTTTTGTTTGCCTGGGTTTTCATGAAGAGCCTTGTATTCCATGGAGTCTTGCTGAACAGGGTGTTGGAATGACTCTTTCAACGTGCGATCCTGGGCAGCAAGCGCTTGGAGCGGTGGCTTCATTTCTTGACTGTTGGGTTTCTTCACTCACGATTTAGGAGATTGAGTTGGTAAGTGTGTTAGGAATATCCAGAGCTAAGACTAGAACAGACTAACTTAACCTGATGGGATAGTGTTCGAGCCACTTTTCAGTTCTTTATTGTTGCTCTGTGCTAATTTATTAGTGTGATTAAATAGTATTTGAGGGATGTGAGACCCCAAAATTCATATGTGCTGAATTCAACATTTTGCATAATTTCTCTTAATTCACTTTTGAAGGGCATAAGAGTTATGTCTTACATAATAAAGAAATTGTTAAAGTAAATGAGCTCCACTTTGTTTTGCTTTTTCCCCTAGGTGAGGAGAAACGGATTATCTCAGACAGTTAGCCAGGAGGAGAGAAGGAGACAGGAGGTACGTGTCCCTGAGAGGAGCCCTGGGGTGTGTGTGAAAACCCGCCGCCTGCATTCGCTCAGCGTGTCCTCTGAAAACGTATTCATCTGTCCTCTTTGCAAAAGAAGTGTGTGATCACTGCCAAGTAAGGTGACACATATGCCCCCAGAAAAGAACATTTTAAAATATCCCAGCGTCGTTTTAACTTAAACAACAAAGTGCCTGGTGCAGGTATTTAAACTGGAAGAAATATGTTGAAAAATGAAACAGACATTAGATCCTGGAAGTGGTAAAGGATATTGGTGGAAAAACTGGTGAAATATGAATAAAGTGTGTACATTTGTCTTCAGACAAAATGTAGTGTACCCTGGTTGGGGAAAGCTAGGAGAAGTAAATAGGGACTCTGAACCCTTTATGCAAGACTTCTGTGAGGCTAATTATACCAAAATAAAAGTTTACTGAATAAAAAATGAAACAGATGATAATAGGGCTTCACAACTTGAGGTTTAAATAAATTCAGTTTAAGAAAATTGCTCATTGAAATAGTGTTGTGAAGTTCTCAAAGTGCTTCCCTCCTGTGTTAACTACATTAGTGGATATATGTAAGTTTATACACATACATGCATATACGTTGATTCCACAAAGGACACAAGGTGTCCTCGTCTTATTTCACTAGCCTGGAATAATGCAAAAAGACACAGGCACGTTATAGTGCCATTTTTTTTTAGGTTTAAAAAACAGAATAGTATATCACATTGGTGTACCCATCACTGAGAATTAACAAATGTATTACATTTATAATTTTTTCTTTTTCTTTTCTTTTTTTTTTTTATAAATACTATATTAAAGTCAAGATGTATAATT